GAGCTGCATGAGCTTTTTTCTGAAATATTGAGAACAGAAATTTTCAATCTTGTACTGCTTAGCTACCATACGCGTACAATCAGAAAAAGATTTTGTTGGACATCCTCGTGGTTTGGTGCCGCTGTTGTTTGAAATATTTTATATGCAATTTACACCGGCGACACTGGCGACAGGAATATTGGCAATTTCTTTAAGCCATGTAAAATTTTTGTCTTTGAAATGTATTATATTTCTTTGAGAAGATTGCCATCGCTTATTGTATTCAAAAGCAAACCTGGAGCAATAATTGAGAAGTTTTCTCTTGAAATTGTCTTCTATATCATTTAACTGCATCTTGTCTTTCAAATAATCGCAAAATTCTCGACCACAAATCATGTTTGACATCTTTTATAATGTTGCAAAGATCTTGTCTTAAAAAAGCCATCATTTCAGACAATCAGATATATGATATATCTGTAAAGAAATCATTACAAGTAAAATCTTTCAATGAAGTACAACAAAATATAATAAACAAAATATAATTTTCCACGCTTTTATCTACGCTCATGTTATATGTAATAATTTAACATGTATAACCAAATCTAACCTTAATTACACGTAATCATAATGTGTTGAAACGTATCATTGAACAAATTATAATAATATATCTTCTAATCTGTATCTTCGTACTAGCGCTTTTATATATAATATATAAGGAACTTCGCGATCAGATTACACAGTAAAGACAATATATGATTAATCTTTTCGAGATCTCAATAATAATCTACGAACATTACGCAGACATTAACTTTTAATGTCCTACAGAAAACAAAAGATATCTAAGGAAAAACAAAATAACCAACAGCACGAAAATAGAAATTATAAAATATATTATTATAATTTGTTTAACGTTACGATTATATATAATTAAGATTAGATTTATGTAAAATCATATTATGTACGTTAAATTATTATATAACATAAAAATGTCAAAATCCAAATTTTGAAAATTTCTTATTTTGGCCGTTCCGTTCCGAATCGGAGTGGCTCCTATAGGAGCTACTAACAAACTCGAATTAATAACTCTACGCGACATGATGGTTACATATATATATAAATTTTCCGCAAAAAAAAATTGCAAATTTTAAAGGAAAAATGCCGGTTCTCTAAAGGTTAATCCCATGTCCATCTTCAATTTATTTATCATTATTCTCCTATTAACACCGATATAGAATCGAAATTTTTACTCAAAGACAATGCATTTTCTTCCCTTTATCCCTCTTCCTCTTGTTCTCTCTTTCTCTCTCTCGTGAACTTCACTTTCATACAACTCTCATTGTGTCTTTAACGACCGAGCCGGGTTTCCAAACGTCGCCGTGCCTGACGAACGTTCTTTCTGCGTTCAATTTGAATTCCAAGCTGTCCACGCATACGCGACACGCCCACGCACGTGCACGAATTCTTTAACAATATATGCGCGACTGTCTTTTCTCACATTTGTCTGTGTATGTATAACAATGCGAAAAAGGCTGGTACCGCGAACGCATGTGTGAATGTATGCTTTGGTGAGTCATCCTACAAATATTAACAGTAGATAATCTCGTGGATACGAGAGACAAAGAGACAAAGAGAGAAAGAGAGAGAAAGAGAGAGAGAGAGAGAGAGAGAGCGAGAGAGAGAGAGAGAGAGAGAGAGAGGGAGGGAGGGACGGAGCAAGAGAGAGAAATAAGATACGATTAACACACGGGATTAGTTAACGGCTGTATCAATTTTCAGATAATTCTAAATTTCACAATCAACTGTAATTCAAATTCCCTTTGCTCCCGCATTCCCCACAGATAAGATCTAAAACTTCCGTGAAATGTTATCCAACCTCACGGCTGCCCGAGTCAATATTTCACAGAAATTGCGCACAAATCCGGTCCGACAGTAACTTTAATTGCGTATGTAGATATTCGCTCGATACAAATTTTAGGAAAATATCTGCGCACCTGCATCATTTTTTCAAGCAGACAACTCGATCCCGTCCTAATGGAACCGAGCCATGCAACAAAGATCGCGCACGCGAGCACGATTTCCTAAGTTTATTAATTGACTCAACGTAAACGAAGTTCTCCTCTCGTGGCGAGAACTCGAACATTCTGCTAACAAACTTTGCCGTCGCACGAGAATGTGCAACACGCGGAGTCAACGCGCTACCGTTTCCGTAACGATTTCGTATTCCGCGGATCGTCGTGCTCACTCGTGTGCATCGGCCTGTCTACCATTCCTGCGATGTGCTAGTAAAATTGTATTTGGCACTTTCCGCCGTGCGAAGCACCACGCTGCTCCTTTCCTAGCGTTCCGCGACCAACGAGAGTGATGTGTTCAAGTATTAGGAGTGTGATTTAGTTTTGAGGATTGCGTAAGAAATGGCACTAGTGTCCACCTTTGCCGAAGTCATTCCAATCACAGCTATTGTTTCTTAACACTTTAATATTAATGGTATATAGTCATTTGCTAACAATAAACGCAGTAAAAATCGTGTTAGTACCATCTTAAAAGTGAAGTTTCCTGGAAAACATTTGCGAATGTACGTTGCTTTTGTCTTTTAATCAGAAGGAAATGCCGGCTGAAAGTCATAGAATTCTGATGGAAATTAATGACGATGTCGCTCCATTAATTAAGACAGTGAATATTGGTTCAGACTCAAAAGTAGTAATTTCAATGTTAACGACAAAGATCACTCGGGACAACCAAAAAGCTTGAAAATGCAGAAAATGCAAGCATTATTGGACGAAAATTTAACACAATCCACTTCGGAACTTGCCTAAATATTAAATGTTCATTGTACAACAGCTGCTAAGCGTTTATATGACATGGGAAAGATTTATAAAAAAGGAAAATGGGTTCCACATCGATTATTGGAAAATGCGATTGCGAACCGATTGGACATTTGCATTTCGTTGATCGCCAGATAAAAAATGAAGAGTTTGTTGTATCGGATTATTACTGAGGATAAAAATGGATCTAATCCCAAGCAAAAAAATCATGCGTTGATCCAAGCCAATCAGCAACATCCACTTCGAGGCGCAATATTCACGGTTCAAAGGTCAGACGTATTTGATAGGATCAAGATGTTGTGTACCATGAACTGTTAAATCCGAATGAAATTGTCACCGCTGATCGTTATCAACAGCAATTATACAAATTAAAAAGAAAGCATTGGATCACCAATTGCGAGTAAATGACGCAAAGTGATCCTTCTTCGAGACAATGCTCGACTTCATTATCTCGACTGCATTATCAATAAAGCAAACGATATTGGAACTGGAATGGCAAGTCTTATCGTATCCCGCGTATTCTCCAGACATTGCTCCATCCGATTATCACTTGTTCCAGTCGATGTAACATGCTCTAGAGGATACACATTTTCATTACTTCTAATAAGCGAGACAATTTGTTGAAAATTGGATCAACTCTAAAGAAGAATCTTTTTATCGGAATCCATCTCTTGCCAGAAAGGGGGGAAAAAGCTGAAGAAAAATATTTTGATTAGGGTATTCATTCATTACCTTATTTAAGTAAATCAGTTTCTGAAAAAAAGACCCTCAAAATTTAATCACACTCCTAATATTTAGTTACTTTCTCAAAAACGACGAAACAGAGCACGCGAAATTCGGGCAAAAAGAACGCACAAAATAAGCTCGCGAGATAATTGAACGTGCGAAAGGCAGCAAGAGCTCAATGAAGCGATCGTCGATCGTGCGGGACTCGCGAGGATCTTGGAAAAATCGAGCGTCCTGGAAAAGTGGAAGAAAGAAAAAACGTGAGAAGGGTTCCGTGTGCGACACGGCGCGACGCGAGCGGAAGGAAGTAGTGAAAGAGGACAGACGCATTCGACACGAGCTCGAAAGTCTTCGTCTTTCTCTTCTTCAAACACAGCCGAGCACGAAAGCGAAGTGGAAGAACGAAAGGAAGACGGGGGAATTATTAACGCACACGGGGCGCTCAGCGGTGTGCATCCAAGTGTTGGCCGATGCACTAGCCTCCCTACCCCCCTCGACCCCCCTCGGCCCCCTTTCTCCTACAATTCCTAACGACGGGACATAAGGCGTTACGTCGCGAATTCCTACGGACCTGGCCGTCTCGGCCGGCTGAGTACAAGAATTCGCTGGAGGAACGAACGGAGCACGGTCGAGGGCAAAAGCGACTAATTAGCGCGATTGCGCAACAGCTGTCCTCTCCTCACTTGCGACTCGATGGACGGTAACCGGGATGCGCATCCGTTTCCAGGACACCGGAGCGGTTTCGACACCGAGCCGCGAATCGCGAGGACCTGCAACTTCGCGGGTACAGAACAGGACATTTCTGTATTCTACGATGTTACGATGTCGTCTAGCGCAAAAGGATACCTAAAAATTCATATTATCGTCCGATTCCTCGAGTCTTGGAATTCCGCGACTCGAGTATCATCTCGCAAATTGCAGCGAGCCTCGCGTGTAATCTCAGTACTTGGATCCGTCCGAGTCGGCTTTCGGATTTATCACGCGCGCTCCGGAGGAACGGGCCGCTCATTGATGCCCCATCAATGCATCTGCAGGAGAGTTTTAAAACCTCCCACGGATGGTGTGCCGTAGCTGCGGGCTGGAAAAGGGTGAGGCCGATGAATATTGATATCGGCTCAGCCGCAGGTAAACCGATGCACCTTGCTCGAGACTTCCCTCATTCCTCGGCCTATCGTCGGGCGCACGAGGTGCTGCCACCTGAGCAGGTTCAGCCGCAGGTGAACACCGCCGGTGTTCAGGCACAAGCGAGCAAACGTACTCAAGCATATACAACACACACGCGCGCGCGCGTACACACACACACACACACACACACACACACACATGCGATAAACATCGGCACCCGCGAAAAGGAGCAAGTCCGTGGAAAGGGGGTTGCCGGTCGTTCTTCCCCACCTATCATCCTGTCAAGCGGGTAGAGGGGTTACGCAGGCGCAAAGACCTGCGAGTCCTTCGCACCGAGAGAGCGAACGGCCAGGACGGACTCCAGAAGCTCCAAAGTCCGCGTCCGTCGTAGGGGAAGTGGATCGCGCGCTGGCAGTTGGTGTCTCGGCAGTTCGCGATTTCCCGCGTTCCCTTCGTCCGTTTGAACGGCTCTCCGCGAATCTTCGCAGCGATCTTCGTCGCTTCGCGTCGTACATCTCTCGCTTATACTCACGCTCCACCTCGTCTCTCGTCTCGCCGATCGCTCGCGAGTGCATCGATCACGTGCACGATTTTGGGATTGCAACGTGCCCGCGTACGTTACAGTGAGACGGCAAATCATTCGTGTTTGTCGGTGTGCTATGGGGAACTAGGAACGCCTGCAAGGGTGAGTCTCGTGTCCAGGACAACCTGCTTATCTCGAGTTCGAAGAGCGCAGCTGTTCGACAGCTCTGTACAAAAATGTGATCAGCAAAGAAAAAATTCCTTTCGGTAAAACTTTAGAATAGAGCCTTTTCCGAATTTTAATATTTATTTGCTACTCTCATGGTAAAGATCTTTGTTGTGAGTCCGACAGTGATAATCAATCGGGGGAGTCCGAAGAAAATGTTACCCACTTATTTTCTGAACAATTTTTTTGATAAATATTTAGAAGTACTGTTATACTAAAAACTACATTTTCTTGTTCAGTAATTTACAAAATAATTTACAAAACTAGCTGTAAAAGAACACATATACAAAGTTTTACATATATTATTAAGGGAGGTGGGAGGGGGGCTAAGATCTTTATAGGAAAAAATATGAAAATTTTATTCCATATATTTAAAATTTTAAATATCGATTTTATACTGATTAAATATTGTTCGCGGTTGTTACTCGAATCTTTCGCCTTATTAAACAGATGAGTCTACGATATACTAAAAATGGATACTGACAAGATTAGTAAGATACGCAAGGTAGGACGTATCATAAATTACAAGCAAAATAAAGCAGAGCATTATTCACAACCCATGCTCTGCTTTAATCAAAAGCACAAATTTATATTATAAAGTCTAAATTACAGCGGAGAATATAGATTATGTCTTTGGTTTGTTAAAGTTCATTGAGTTTTTTATACCTTTACTCAATAGTTTAAATTTAGCGCATTTTTCCTTCAGAGTTTCATAAGATCCGAAAAAACTTGAAAAAAATAGGTCGGTAACATTTTCTTCAGGCTCCCGCCATTGATTATCATTGTCGTAGTTACAACAAAGACTTTTGTCCAATAAGTCCAGCAAAAATATATCAAAATTCGGAAGAGGCCCTATTCTAAAGTTTCACCTTCTTTCCTAAAACACATTTCACTGGAAAGGTACTTCCGCCCCATCCCTTCCAAATTATATTTCGGCCTTTGCAAACTGAGAAAAGGGAAAATTCTACAAGATTCGAATAAGTCGACTTGAAGGGAAAATTCTATAAGATGCTAATAAATCGAATTTGTCCTTCAGGAGTGCTCTCCAGAGTCGAGAAAATTGTGTTGCGTTCAGATAATGCGGATAATGTGAACGGTTTGATAAGATTAATGAAGAAAAAGTAATGGAAGTAGTCAACGGAAATTCGCTGGCTGTTTAAGCGCGCGAGTAGCCATCGCCCGATAAAAAAACAAAATTCAAGGTAGCTCGAGTCTAAATTCCGCTTCAGAAAAGATGGAATTGTAAACTTTTACGGGCTTGCGTTTTATCATAATACGAAGCTGTCCCGCCAAACGCACGTCTGTCAGTGCCAGTCACTTTTCACAATGGTCACGTAACAGGATGTCGAGCGACCGAAACGTTAAAAATGTCGTGGATTTGCGTTACGCTTTGCGGAATATCCGCGCGCGAGAATCGGCGGAAATCCCCCGCCGCTGTCTCGAAAAGCTCGGGCGCGTTTGTTTTGGAGACGATCGTCGTTACGGCTCGGCTCCGGGTCGTTTAACCACGAAGGAGCGCGCGTTAATCCTCGCGCGTAATTGCGATCCGGCAGGGAGCGAGCGAGCGAGTCCCTCGCGAAGCGTTTGCATTAAGGTTTCCGCTACGAATATGCGGCAAGCACGATCGTCGCTTGCAGCTGAGAGGCTGCAGATAACCAAGCGGAGCACTGACCGGTGATTTGAATGCGCGGTGCGGCTGCAAGCTCGCTCCTTGCCCGCCGAGAGAGAAATACGAGACACGAAATACGAACGCGTAAATAACATCGCCATTTCCGTAAACGTCCGCGCGAGCTCGCTCGATTTCCCCTCCCCGCCCCCTCTCCCCCGCGCGCACCGCAATTAACAATAACAACCAACGCTCGTCGTCGCGATGTCCTCTTCTGCAACGTCGTGATCCTCCGTCCGACCAAAGAGCGCGGCGAGGGACCTCTTGAAAAAGCGAAGCCGATGGATACTTAGCGAGATCGATCCACTCGGTCGCCGTGATATTCCGACCTTTAAGCAGCTCGGCGCATCAAGGCGAAGGATCTGCGAACTCGCGCGCTAATGGCTAAATGGTTATTACACACACCGGGCAGATTAAAGTACACGATTATGTTCGAAAAGAGCCGGATATTTTCGCCGCGCCGTCCGCCATATGGCGCAAGAGGTCCCGTTGCGCAAGCCGCCCCTATGTACGCCTTTCCTAGTTCAGCGTTATCGATTAATATAATCGCCGTTGAGAGCATGCGACGCGTCGCCGAGCGACCGCGACGCAGCGGGCTTTATAAAGCGTCCTCGAGTACGCGATCGACTAGGAAGACGCCTCTCGGCTATTCCGCGCGTAGGTTACGACCGAGAGAGATCGGCCGAGGTACTTGAAATTGTGATTCCAGGCGTGTCCGAGAAGGGAACGTTAGGGCAGGCGGACGAACGGACGAACGGACGGACGGACGGACGAACGGACGTGCTCGTCGCCTGTGATCGAAAGGCGCGTTAGCCTAATGCTGGGAACGAATATGTCCGTCTGTACGTGAGTGGCTGTATCCGTGCTGGAATCTCGACGTCCCGCGCGGCTCTCCGGCCGCGGGGAAAAGACTCTCGCAGTCCCACGCGCTGTTGCTCGAGAGGAGAGCGGAGGGCAAACATCGCGCTCAGGAGTATCAAAGTTGACTAATTGACAAGTGGAGGGAATCAATCGCGCGACGTCGCCGTCGCAGCAATTCCTCCGCTTCCAGGTAATAAAAATACCAGGCAATCTGAGGGAAATCTCGCTGCCGACGAGCCGATCGATTTCCACATATATTTCGCGTACGATCCTCTCCCCCCTCGCCCCGGCTGGTGACGAGCCGCTCGCGTCTGGCCCGATCGAAACGACCAAGACGCGACGGAGAGATTCGGGATCTCTCGCACGTCTGCTCATTTGTGTACGCAGATATGTGGACGTGCTTGTGTATGTGTGTGTGTGTGTGCGTGTGTGTGTGTGTGTGCGCGAGAAAGAGTACGCGCGTCGTCACGAAATGCAGTCGAACCGGCTGCAAACGCACACACAACGCGCCTCTCCGGGGCCGGCAGCGCGCATTGGTCCGGGCCCGGAACTCCGCGGACCTCGGTCCGCGGATTTCTTTCTCCCGGATCGCACTCGCGTTAACACTCATAAATGTCCCGCCGGTAAAAGTTTCACGCCTCCTCCTTCTCCTCCTTCTCCTCCTCCTCCCGTCGCGGTTTCGCGACGGACGGACGGACGGACGGACGGATGTTCCCCTCGCGCCGAAAGAAGCGAATGTCCCGTTACGACTTGGCGTATCGGTCGCCTGGTGTCATTAGTCAGTCGCGAAAGAGAGACCGCCGAGAGCGAGGAGGAAGAGAAGAGGCAAAGAGGGACAGAGAGATCGAACCGTCTTCGAGTCGCTTCGCGAGACGAGATTCCGCGGCGGGCGAGCGCGCGCCGCGAGATAGGCTTAATTAAGTGTCTCCGGGCAAGGTCGCGACAGGTGTCGAGTTTAGTTAAATGGACGAGTTAGATTAACAAGGGCGCACCGAGGGGAATTACGAGCGGAGGAGCCGGGCTTCTCGCAACACCCGACGGGGAAGTACCGTTTGACGCACGACACCTCGCAATGAGATGCATCGGCGCGTACAAGCTACATTGCGCCGAGCCGGAGTGCACATTTATGTAATTTAATCGTCTTCTCCGATAGGGCAGCCCTGCGGACTGTCTTCGTTTCCCCGGCCGGTTGCTAAACCGGCTTAGCGCGGCCGGCTAACCAGCGGCTCGGAATCTCTAATATTTTACTGCTATTCATACTCTAGGCGACGTAATGAAAACGATCGATCAAGTCGCCGCTGAATGGCGCAACGGGATGGCGGGGCGGGGGCGAGGAGACGCGGATCATCCTGATATATCTTGGGCTCTCGCAATGTAGAGGTGGATTCGATTTGGTTGCCACTGGCTTGGTACCGCGACCACTGTGCGTTTGTTCCCGACGCACAGTAGGGCCAGATGACATTTTTTGGTTGAAAATTCTCTAGAGACCTGAGCTTCCAACCGATCATCGATGAAGTTGATCCTGAATAAATTCCAAAGAGATCTGTCTAGTCGAAATTTTGAAAAAATTATCGATTCAGGGTTCATGGGTTTAGGGCTTGTCTTAAAAGTTTGTCATTTGAAGTACAGTGTCTTGGGTTCTACCTCAATGGGTTCGAGCCTATGGATGCTAAATACTGAATATGGATACTAAAAACAAGACCCCAGAACTTATAATCACTTTTTAGAAAACTCAGAATTTCAAAGCTCATCATTTCAGCCCACATTAAAAAAGAATTAAGCCATATGGACCCAATAAGTAAAAACATGGAGAACATTGAACAAAACATCCAACCCTAATCTGATAGCTGAATATTCAACGTCGAGTATTATTAGGTTCTCGAGGTATGGCTAGATTGGGTTCTTGGACTATTTGGGGCTCTTAATATATACGACTTCATGTACTCACGAGCTAAAAAGTTCTCGGATTGATAGATTCCTAGGTTGATGGGCTTAAGACTCAAAATCCCTCGATTTTACAGTACTTAACGGGTCTATATTTGATGTTTTTGTATTTTGGGAATATGAGTTTTAGGTTGATGGGTTTCTGTTTCAAGATCGATAAATCTCGAGATGTCTGTTAAATGGTTTCATAGTTTCAATCCACTGAATACGCTTAAATTAGATAGAAATAAGTGTCGAATAATGAGTATTTCACAAGTTTCTCGCGTTTAACGATAATTATTCCTCTTTTGCGGCTAGTAATTCGAGAACAAAATTTTTTTTTTATTTTGGCAAGACAGATCTCTTCGGAATTTATACAGGATCCACCTCAACCATTGGTGTCGATGATCGGTTGGAAATTCAGGTCTCTAGAGAATTTTCAACCAAAGAATGTCATCTGGCCCCACTGTGCGACGTCTCATCAACT